AGTAGTGGTGGGGTTGTCACCTGGACATGGGCATTAATAAAAATTATTGTCCGATGTTCTATTCCTTCCCCATTCTACTAAAAATGTGTTTTTGTCTATGTCCCCGGCTGGGGAGATTTTTCCTCACTTCCTGTTCTGCAGCTTTATCATTGGTTAGTGGGATGGTGAGGGTGTGCCCAAGACCACAAGTTGAGATCTGCTTGTAGTAAAGGATCAAGGGATCCTGGGTGGCTTCAAAATGGTCGGCCAGATGGATTGTGCTTGCAAACACCCTGATTTTTCTGATCGGAAATTATATATACAAACAAAACATTGGATGGAGCAGGGAAGGAACAGAACCTCTGTCAGTTTTTTTATTGCTAATATATGGATTGGAGATTGCAGCACTGCACCGTGCAGGAATAGTCCAGATACAAATGTATTCTCATTGAAAAAAACCAGCGGAAGACCAAAGAAATCCAACGCGTTTCGGGGACCAGAAACTCCACTCATTTGTCAAGGCTTAAGGATAGCGAATGATGTATATGGACTGAACTGAGGATACAAAGTATATGGACTGAATAGAGGATACAATGTATATGGACTGAACTAGAGGATACAAAGTATATGGACTGAACTGAGGATACAATGTATATGGACTGAACAGAGGATACAATGTATATGGACTGAACAGAGGATACAATGTATATGGACTGAACAGAGGATACAATGTATATGGACTGAACTGAGGATACAATGTATATGGACTGAACAGAGGATACAATGTATATGGACTGAACAGAGGATACAATGTATATGGACTGAACAGAGGATACAATGTATATGGACTGAACAGAGGATACAATGTATATGGACTGAACAGAGGATACAATGTATATGGACTGAACAGAGGATACAATGTATATGGACTGAACAGAGGATACAATGTATATGGACTGAACAGAGGATACAATGTATATGGACTGAACAGAGGATACAATGTATATGGACTGAACAGAGGATACAATGTATATGGACTGAACTGAGGATACAATGTATATGGTCTGATTGGAGGATGCAATATAAATGGACTGAATGAGAAGGATACATTGTACTGTATATGGACTGAAGTATAGGTTATTGTAACCAATTAAGTGATGTGGCACAGTGTTCATTAACAGCTAGTTTGATGTCTGAGTCTGTACCTGGATGAATACTATGATAAGACACTATATTGTCCCTGGGTGCGTCCATTTTTTTAATACACACTTTTGTGGCTTGTGGCCATGGAGCTGTATCCATAGCTCATGGCAATATGCAGCTTCTGCTGTAGACATGGAGGTTTAAACAGAAATGACCCCTTGATTTCCCACTGCAGGTTACTCGGCACTGGTGGTGTTCTAGTTGCTGCATTGTTTCATGATGTTCCATGGTACTGCGGGATCTCACTTGTGCTGAGGTCTCTTTAAGTGTCATAGTGATATAAATAGATGCCCCCACACACTGGATAAGACAGAGGCGGCCATTGTTTGCTAGATAAAGAGAGCATTGATTGGCTCAAGCACTCGGCGCAAGAAAAATAAAATATATTTACATTTGTAATGAGAGAAATTATGATTGGAGGTTTTGTAATGTATGGGCAGAAGAACAGAGTCTGCCTGGTTGGGTTAGATTTATGGTTTAGGGTTTGAGTTGAGTTAGTTTTAGGGTTGGGTTAGGGCTAGAGTTCTGATTAGAGGTTAGGGTTGTATTAGGGTTAGGAATGGGTTAGGGTTGGAGTTACAGTTATGGGTTGGGGGTTTAGATTTGTGGCTGGGTTAGGTTTAGGGTTGAGTTAGTTTTAGGGTGGGGTTAGGGTTGAGTTAGGGTAAGAGGTTAATGATGAGTTAGGGTTAGGGTTGGGTTGGGCTAGAGTTATGGGTAAGAGTTAATGATGGTTAGGTTTAGGGTTGGGTTAGGTTAGGGTTAGGTTAGGGCTAGAGTTATGATGGGTTAGAGTTAAGGGATGAGTTAGGGTTAGGGTTGGGTTAGGGCTAGAGTTATGGGTTAGAGTTAGGGAACGGTTATGTTTAGGATTAGGTTAGGGCTAGATTTATGGGTAACAGTTAAGGGTTAGGTTTAGGGTAGGATTAGGGTTAGAGTTATGGTTAGAGGTTAAGGTTGGGGTTTGGGTTGTATTAGGGTTAGGGTTGGAGTTAGTTATGGGTTGGGGGTTTAGATTTGTGGCTGGGTTAGGTTTAGGGTTGGGTTAAGGTTAGAGTTATGGGTTAGAGTTGAGTTAGTTTTATGATTGGGTTAGGGTTAGAGTCATGATTTAGGATTAGGGTTAGGTTGTGAGTTATGGTTTAGGAATAGAGGTCAGGGTTAGAGTTACGGTTAGGGGTTAGGGTTTAGATTTGTGGTTGGGTTAGTTTTAGGGTTGGGTTAGGGTTAGAGTCATGATTTAGGATTAGGGTTAGGTTGCGAGTTATGGTTTAGTGTTAGGGTTTGGGTTATGGTTTAGGAATAGAGGTCAGGGTTAGAGTTACGGTTAGGGGTTAGGGTTTAGATTTGTGGTTGGGTTAAGATTAGAGTTAGGGTTGAGTTAGGGTTAGGGTATGAGTTAGGTTTAGGGTTGAGTTAGGGTTAGAGTCATGATTTAGGATTAGGGTTAGGTTGTGAGTTATGGTTTTAGGGTTAGGGTTTGAGTTAAGGTCTAGGAATAGTGGTTAGGGTTAGAGTTACGGTTAGGGGATATGGGAGTTGAGGTTGACATTTGGGTTAGAGTTGGGTTAGATTTAGGGATGGTTTAGGGTTAGAGTTATGGTTAGGGGTTAGGGTTTGAATTAGGGATAGGCCAAAAAAAAAATTGAAGTGTGTATTGCCACCATAAGGCTGCTGCCTTTTTGGTTTGGTGAAAATAAAATGCTCATCAGGTTGTGGTTAGGAGTGTCTAGCATGAACATTCATCTCACTTGGAAATTCATTTCAAATATTTATTGATCAAGAACATCAGGTACATCAAACACATTCCAGGGGAAAGTTTCTCATGTCTTCTGTTAGCCCTGAAGAAGTGGGGCCTTTCCCCCCGAAACGCATTAGTTGCATTTGATGTTCATAATCAATAAAGATTTTCTATGAATTTCCAAGTGAGATGAACATTTGTACTAGGCGCTCCTAACCACATATCCAATGTGTCAGGAGGTCCTGGAAGTTTCAGGGTGGGAACAGGCCAGCTGGTAGTGATAGCATGCGGTAACATTCATACTAAGAAGAGATGACGGGAGGGAGGTGTGGGAGCTGTGTTAGGAGGGTTCCTGGAATTACTGGGGTATAGGGCCACAGAGGAGAGCAAAAGTCTGATGTAGTGAGACTGGAATTTTATCACAGAGGTGTAACATAAGTGAGTGTAAGACGTGGCGGCATTGCCAAAAAAATTGAACATTGTGACTCATCCCGGGAATGATCTATGGGACCTTCTTACAAAGATGTCCATTTTTTTGTGTCTTGTATTTTCACAGTTTGCCCGAGGTTAATGCCAAACTTCACCATTTATAAAAAGTGGTGGCGCAAAAGTGCTGAAAATATGTTGTTTTTTTTTTTTTTTTTGGTCTCTCAGTTTGGCATTTAGAGAATGCCGAACTGTAAAGATGACCCATTCATGTAGAGGCCTGCGCCGGTCACGTGATGTCCGCAATCAGTTTTGTTCTACACACCGGAACTAAACAGCATTGTCTGTCTGAGGTCTAACAAGAGCGAGGGGGGGGGGGCACATAGATCAAGGATGTGTTTTCCCCTCCTATGGATAATAAATGAAGGGAGGCCTATCATCAAGTATATTTTAATAAAATTTTTTTTTTTTTTTTTTTAAATTGCATAATTTATTATTATAATTATTATACATTATAGTAATAGAAACTAGAAAAGCTACAATTTCTGGGGAAATTGTGTGAAGTGTTCTTGCCTCCACTCTGCTGCCTGATCACACACCTGGGTTCCTATGGCAACTCACTCTACAGCAAGGGTAGAGAAGAGCGGTTAAAAACAAACTGCTCGAACTTGCTCACTTCACTGGCGGTTGCCATCTTCAAACGGTTGTAGTTTAAAAATTATAACTCCTATACTAAAGAGCTTTATATTGTGAGAATCACAAGACCCAGACCTACATTTTGATGTATAGTATGTCTATGAAATAGTAAAAATGAAGGCACAGTTGCAGTTTAGATATTGCCCTTCAAATTTGAGGTGGCTAGAGTGGAGTTTCAATGAATGTCAATGGGTGGCGTGAGTTGCAAACAAATGGTCATATTGTGAAAACTATCAGGACTATGGCTTAGCCGTGGACATTTTTAGTGGCAACAGGGATGGCTGGACATTTTGATATAAGATTTGTGTAGGTGGGCTTGAAAATGAGGGAGTGATGGCAGTTTAGAAATCATGTCCTGATTTTTCAGCTCCCACTCTAGCTTTTGTCAGCTCCCACTCTAGTTTTGAACATTCCGCCATTCATTCCTATGGGACCAATTTCACCACAAAAACGCCGATATTTGCATGCATGATGCATTTTTGAAATAATATTTATTAAATATATTAATTATTATTTATTAATACAATTTACACAGGCAGACTCTGGTATTTTCCTTATGAAGTCACAAGGAACTATTACCAGCCTGCAGCTATGAATGAGGCACAAGGTGCCTGGAGCCCCGGCGCTGTCGCTAGTTTCTCTTCAATCTCCAGGCTGAACCCAAGATGATCCCACAAAGATGTTCTGGAGATACATTTTTTTCTCCTGCTGGCAGCTGATCAAGCAATAACTTCTGCCCTCTCTGAAAACATTTCTCCTCAAAGAAACAAATTCGAAACATCTAATTCCCTCGGCTTCGGTTTGTTCTCTTTTTGAAAGTATTCATTTTCCCTTCCCGTGACCTGCAGGACGGCACAGAAGTTTTCCCTCCCCCGGTAATTCTGCAGCTTATAATTTAATAAGACTTCCTGCCAAGTTTAAACAGACAGATTAAAGTGTTTGGGATCAAGTAAGCCTCAGACCTGGCCCTCGTTCACCTTCCTTAAAGAGCACCTACCATGGAAACCCTGCGCTCAGTGCGCCATATAAATGGACCTGGCAGTAAATTTAACCCCTTCCAGTCCGGACACTTTCACCCCCTTCCAGTCCGGACACTTTCACCCCCTTCCAGTCCGGACACTTTCCCCCCCCCCCCCCTTCCAGTCCGGACACTTTCACCCCCTTCCAGTCCGGACGCTTTCACCGGACGCTTTTCCCCCCTTCCAGTCCGGACGCTTTCACCCCCTTCCAGTCCGGACGCTTTCCCTCCCTTCCAGTCCGGACGCTTTCCCCCCCCCCTTCCAGTCCGGACGCTTCCCCCCCCTTCCAGTCCAGTCCAGTCCGGACGCTTCCCCCCCCGAATGGCTTTCCCCCCCCCCTCCAGTCCGGACGCTTTCCCCCCCTTCCAGTCCGGACGCTTCCCTTTCCCCCCCCCCCCTTCCAGTCCGGACGCTTTCCCCCCCTTCCAGTCCGGACGCTTTCCCCCCCCTTCCAGTCCGGACGCTTCCCCCCCCTTCCAGTCCGGACGCTTTCCCCCCCCCCTTCCAGTCCGGACGCTTTCCCCCCCCCCTTCCAGTCCGGACGCTTTCCCCCCCCTTCCAGTCCGGACGCTTTCCCCCCCCTTCCAGTCCGGACGCTTTCCCCCCCCCCCCCTTCCAGTCCGGACGCTTTCCCCCCCCTTTCCAGTCCGGACGCTTTCCCCCCCCCCCTTCCAGTCCGGACGCTTTCCCCAGTCCGGACCTTTCCCCCCCCCCTTCCAGTCCGGACGCTTTCCCCCCCCCTTCCAGTCCGGACGCTTTCCCCCCCCCCCTTCCAGTCCGGACGCTTTCCCCCCCTTCCAGTCCGGACGCTTTCCCCCCCCTTCCAGTCCGGACGCTTTCCCCCCCCCTTCCAGTCCGGACGCTTTCCCCCCCCCCCCCCTTCCAGTCCGGACGCTTTCCCCCCCCCCTTCCAGTCCGGACGCTTTCCCCCCCCCCTTCCAGTCCGGACGCTTTCCCCCCCCCTTCCAGTCCGGACGCTTTCCCCCCCCCTTCCAGTCCGGACGCTTTCCCCCCCCCTTCCAGTCCGGACGCTTTCCCCCCCCCTTCCAGTCCGGACGCTTTCCCCCCCCCTTCCAGTCCGGACGCTTTCCCCCCCCCTTCCAGTCCGGACGCTTTCCCCCCCCCCCCCCCCCCCTTCCAGTCCGGACGCTTTCCCCCCCCCCAGTCCGGACGCTTTTCCCCCCCCCCCCTCCAGTCCGGACGCTTTCCCCCCCCCTTCCAGTCCGGACGCTTTCCCCCCCCCCTTCCAGTCCGGACACTCTCACCCCTTTCCTGTCCAGGCCAATTTTCAGCTTTCAGCGTTGTCACGCTTTGAATGACAATTGCGCGGTCATGCAACACTGTACCCATATTAATTTTTTAGCATTTGTTTTGAGACAGATAAAGCTTTATTTTGGTGGTATTTATTCACCGCTGGGATTTTTATTTTTTTTGCTATATAAATGAAAAAGTCCAAAAATTTTGAAAAAAAGGTGTTTTTCTTATAAAATTTTGCAAATAAATAATTTTGCTTCATAAATATTGGGCAAAATGTATTCAGTTATCTTTTTAGTAAAAAAATAAATTAGTTTATAACCAAAAATTTGAAAATGTAAAAAAAATTTTTTTTACATTTTTTTTATTTTTTTTATATATTTTTTTATTTTTTAACATACTGTCACCCTAGCAGTACAGTGTCACCATGGTGACACTGTACTACTTGTGGGGGGTGATGAAGATTTTTCTTTTTTTTTACACTGATTGCTTTTACACCCATAAAGGGTGCAAAAGCAATCATTTCTCCTTCTCTCTGGCTGCATTCCTGCAGCCATTGAGAAATACGGTGAAAGCTGTGATTGGTCACAGCTTGTCACATGGTACAAGGCTGTTGTGAATGGCCCTGTACCATGTGATCTCTGTGATCATTCACAGATTTCACAAGTAGCAAGCAATGATATCAGAAGTGATATCTTGCTTACTCCTATTCATGTGATCACTGATTGGCCAATCAGTGATCACATGATCAGGACCTCGCACAGAGGGTTCCGTACAGCGATTGGTGTTCGGACACAGCGGGCACTGGATCGCGGTGCCGCGCACACTCCAAATAGGCGGGCAACGTTTTTGAACGGCAACCCGCCCCTGCACTGCCACCGTCCGGCCGTTTATATACATGGGCCGGACGGGAAGTGGTTAAAAGTCTAAATCATTTCCTGACATGTCACATTATAAAGCAACAGTATCATGTTTATTAAATCCATTTTTGAGCTGCAGTGACTTTGCCTAGGCTAAGATGAGATGATCAGTCTGCTTCAGGCAGGAGGAACCATATCCTCAGTCTCCTCTCTCCCTCCCACAGTGGTCAGTCTGCAACAGGGTCTGATCTGTAGCAAACATTTGCGAACGCTGCCAAAAAGTCACCTCTGAGTCGGCTAAGTTCAGGAAGTAGAGCTTGATGCTGGATGATACCTGAAAAAAGATGGCTCTGTCCTTCCAGAGAGAAAAGCTGATGACCAGTTTGGTGTATAGGAACTGGAATGGCCTTCACAGCCTTGACCTTAAGCCTACTAATTTTTCTCTGGGATGAATTAGAATGAGCCAGGTCTTCTCATCCAACATCTCCATAAAGACACGGTTTGATGAGTTTGTTGTAGAGGAACTCGAGTGGCCTTCTCAGAAATCTGACCTCAATCCTACTGGACACCTTTTGGGTGAATTGGAAGGAGCCAGGTCTTCTCTCGAGTTCTTCTACAACACAGGTGTCAAACTGGTGGCCCTCCAGCTGTTGCCAAACTACAAGTCCCATGAGGCATTGCAAGGTTGACAGTTACAAGCATGACTCCCAAAGGCAGAGGTATTATGGGACTTGTAGTTTCCCAACAGCTGAAGGTCCGCCAGTTTGACACCCCTGTTCTACAACAAAATCATCAAACAATGTCTATATGAGGATGTTGGATGAGAAGACCTGGCTCATCTAAATTCATCCCAAAGGTGTCCAGTAGGGATTAGGCCAGAGCTCTATGAAGGCCACTCGAGTTCCTTTACAACAAACCCATCAAACCATGTCTTTATGGAGATGCTGGATGAGAAGACCTGGCCCTTTCCAGTTCATCCCAAGGGTGTCCAGCAGGGGAATAGTCTATCATGGCCACTTGAGTTGCTCTATAACAAACTCATCAAACCACGTCTTTATGGAGATGTTGGATGGGAAGACTTTGCCCGTTCCAATTCATCACAAAGGTGTCCAGTAGGGGTAAGGTCAAAGTTCTGTGAAGGCCACTCGAGTTCATCTACAACAAACTCATCAAACCATATCTTTATGGAGATGTTGGATGAGAAGACCTGGCTCATTTAAATTCATCCCAAAGGTGTCCAGTAGGGATAAGGCCAAAGCTCTATGAAGGCCACTCGAGTTCCTTTACAACAAACCCATCAAACCATGTCTTTATGGAAATGCTGGATGAGAAGGCCTGGCCCTTTTCCAGTTCATCCCAAGGGTGTCCAGCAGGGGAATAGTCTATCATGGCCACTTGAGTTGCTCTACAACAAACTCATCAAACCATGTCTTTATAGAGATGTTGGATGGGAAGACTTGGCCCATTCCAATTCATCACAAAGGTGTCCAGTAGGGGTAAGGTCAAAGCTCTGTGAAGGCCACTCGAGTTCATCTACAGCAAACTCATCAAACCATATCTTTATAGAGATGTTGGATGAGAAGACCTGGCTCATTCGAATTTATCTTGTAGCTGATAGTAGGCTTAAGGTCAAGGCTGTGAAGGCCTACACACCAAACTGGTCAAGTGATGTGTTTATGGAGCTGGTTTAGCACACTACATAGTCATGTTGAACAGAAAAATGTCTTCTCCAAACTCTTATCACAAGGTTGGAAGTGCACAAAATGTCTTTGTATGATGTAGTATTATCAATGCCCTTCACTGGAAAGACCTGAACTCCATCATTTAGAAGGGGTCAATGTACTTTTGGACATATACTAGGTGTAATGGTGAGGACTCCACAGACTTTTGGACATATTGTATCATTTTTTTGTAAATCTAATGGAGATTGTAATCACATTGTAAGGTATATGCTCAACTTTAGATCATAAATGAGGTATTCTCATAACGAATGACTTCGCAAAGGACTGCTTCTACTCTTCCCGCGTATGCCTGTCTCATACTGACACATTTGTGTTGATAACACGATCATACGTCGGAGAATGTACAAAGAAACAGATCTGGCTGGGGATCAACCAGAACACGCCTGGAGCTTATCAACCCCAATCGCTACTCTGACCCGCTCTGGGACTTCTCGCTTCTTGTTAAATGATGTTCTTGGCTGGAGATCACATCAAACTTTGAGTTACTCGGTCTACCTTGTATTACATCTGTACAGCGGTTGCAACTGCCGATTTCTACCTTTTCTTGTTATTTTATATACAATGTCTGCTTTTCGTCTATCTCACTCTTACAGCATCAGATAGATGTCACGTCTATTTACAAGACGGTGCCAGGAGATGTGTCGAAACTATAATACAATAGCCAGGCGTAAGTTTCGTTGAACAATTTAATCCGCAAAATACTCAAAAAAGGCTTCCATATATGGCTTGACCAACCCTCAAAACCTTGGTGTTTCGTCATGTGGTCTCTTCTCCAAGGGAATGTATAGATCATTTTTTCGGATATACTGTACATATAAAAGTCACCAGATGGATGCAAGTATTCTGTATTATAGTTTGTGGTTATATAGGCACCCATAGATGCCAACTGGATTTGCCAAGATGGTCTCGTATCCCTAACCACTATCCCGATGACGTTGTATCATGATGTCACAGCACCTAGCTCATCATTCCAACTTATCCCAAAAGGGATCAGGAGGATTGACGTCGTCCAAACCAAACTCATCAAACCATGTCTGTTATGGAGACGTTGGATGAGAAGACCTGGCTCATTATTATTATTATTATTATTATACAGTATTTATAAAGCGCCAATAGTTCGCTCAGCGCTGTACATTACAAAGGGAGACAGAACATGTGACAGAACAATACCAATACAATGCAAAACATGAGGGGATCGAGGGCCCTGCTCTTTCGAGCTTACAATCTAGGAGGGAGGGGGTGGTGGCACAGGAGGAGATAGCTGTGGGGGATGGAGTGGTAGGAAGAGTGGAGGAGGTCGGCAAGTTAGCAGGGGGCGGGGGTAGGCTTCCCTGAAGAGATGGGTTTTCAGGGTGCGCCTAAAGGAGAGGAGAGTAGGTGATAATCTGATGGGTTGGGGCAGGGAGTTCCAGAGGATGGGTGACACCCTGGAGAAGTCCTGGAGGCGGGCATGGG